GGTTTTTACAGAGGAATGAAATATCGGGATGGGAAAGTAGCTTTACAGGCAACCATGGGTTCTAATTCCATCAAACTGGGATGATGTTGTCGCCGTATATGTATCTTACGTGTATTGTTCTTCTTGAGGATTCGTTGATTACATTTATCATATATAGTTGGAAAACTTCAATTAGATAGTCATCATAATTGTCTACTGGCACGAAAAAAAGACAGTTTATTAACGAAAACGTGGTCCAAAGGGACATCATTCCCAGTAAATAACTGACTATACTATGAAGAGACATAAGTGTGTGAAAACTCACAACTGTTGAAATCACCAGCAACGATGAAAACCGGTGACTTCTTCAACATAATTGGATAAAATGTGTCCAGAAGGTAGATAACTCACTAGGATTACAGCCAGGAGTTATGTAGAGATTTGCAGTGATGATCGAAGAATGGTGCAGGAGAAAACGCTATTTACAATCCACAATACTGCAGGAAATGTTTTAGGCACAGTGATTAAATATGCACTTGGTTGAGCTACACCATGACCTTTTGTTTTCCTTCTTGGTGGTTTATCTGCACCAAATAAATGGAAGCGTTCAATCTGAACCACTTCGTTCTCGACCGATTCTTGTAGCCAAGATTCTTGGAAGAGTAACACAACATTCGGGGTGCTTCACGTTGTGAATCAGAAGACCGATGTTTGACAACTTCGAGCGAGTTAAGCAGATAATCGATGACAAAAGGATAGGAAAACCAGTGTTGTAGTGATTTTAGTTATCTGGATGACAACGAACGTCCTAAACTTGTACGAGTCAGTAAATGGTAAATCCAAATGTTTCAAAAATAAATTGATTCCATGAGACCGATGAAGAGACGCATATTTCCTCACAAATGATGGGTTCGATTTCGTGCTTGGTCTGAATGTTGTTTTGTCATCCTTACCAGATTGTTAGCTGTTTCACTGGCTTCCGATTGACTCAGGATGATGCGGTTGGCATTAGGATATATCACCAAAAATAACGTCGTTTTTCAGTCGGTGCATTCTTTGAATATTTGTGAAGAATATCCTGAAGAATGGGTTAATATATAGTATAGTTTTGCCATGGTGATAAAAGATTGGCCATCTTTCTGGTAGTTTTTTCATCCGGGTACACATCTCAGTCCGTCTTTCTTTGCTCAGGTAGTAAGTGTTCAACTGAATTCAATTATTCCGAAATGTAGTTTGAAATCTCACTTGGAAACCCAACAGAAGTTAACGGAAGGCTATTTGTCTACACTGTAAACACGCTTTCAAAAGCCAGTCAAACAATTTTTTAGGACGAGCACTAGCATAGGAATTCACCTGCTCCAAAAGAAATTAGCTATAACGATCGCTGAAAATAGTTTAGTTCTGAATTGATTTTTAATAAAATCTATAGTCACAGACTCGGCCAATGGCCATAGTAGTTTAGAAGAAATTTTTTAATAAACTTTTAGGTGTAAAACAAGTGTAAAAACCACTCAATGCACTGTTCGACTGCGATTGTTGACTCACGTTGTGCAAGTTGAAATTTGGTCGAATAAACATGATTGCCAACAGATTCTGTTCCAGTACAGTGCTACTGGACAAAATTTTCTGTGCCTCCTCTTCGCCACCTGCCACATTCAACAATTCACGAGCTCTTCGATAGTTTTCCATATTTGGTCGATTGATGAGCATACGACCCACTTTTGTTCCCAGCCAACTGAGCTGCCACGATTTCGTTGGCCACATGGACGTGGACCGATCGGTTTCGTATGAGAAAAATGTACACGGGAGAGTGCACGATGGCACCACATCACCCTGTGAAAAGATGTGCATGGGAAAGTGAATAGGAGCAGCGGGACTTTTGGTCACCCGCAATTGAGTGTGAACTCCCAACAAATTGCCCAGAGTTCCACAGGTTTCCCTGGTGATCAAAATATGAGTGTGATAAATTGGTCGATAAAAATGATCTTCATACTCTGAGGGACTCTTCAGAAAAGTGCATTCTTTACTACCTACATAGCACTCGAACAACAAATCTGCAGGTTGGAAGTTAAAAGCTTATTCCTGGTGCTCGTCTTTGTGATCTATTTTTGTACCACTTCAGTTGGAATGACCAGCTTTTTGAGGATAATGATGATATAGTAAGCACGTATCTACTCTTCTTGAGGAGCCTGAAGCATATGCTGCTTCTGTTTGTTGCCTACAACAACGCTTTCCCCCATATTGTGAAGTTTCTTACAAATTTGAGCTATCCAGCTGCACACCGCTGCACGCATTGAAAGAAAAAAACACGCTTTAGCGAACAAGCTTTTGATCATTCATTTGTTAGCTTTCCTTTCTTTCGATACAGATTAATGCTACATAAAATGTCATCTATTAAACAGATGATGAGTAGCCGAAAAAAACTGGTTCACTAAACGGGTTTTTCTTTAAATTTTAGATAATCCAACTCCATTTTCACCACTCCCACGAAACCCGCATTCTGGCTTGTATAAACATTCGTACATGTCGTAGATGTTTTATCCCGGTTACGTAAATGATCACACGACGAAGTAAGTGACCCACTTGTCTGTAGGTGAGTGAGGAAACAAAAGCATCCGTAAAATATAAAGGAAATATTAGCGTAAGTGTATCGCGCTCAACGAGAAATTTGCCCAAATTGATACTTCTAAGTCAATCATCATTGGCGCTAGTATAGTGCGTGTGTGTTTGTGTGCGTTCGCCAAAAGGTATGTGTCTGGGCATGTGGGTCAACCAGTCACTGAGTGACGCATGTGTGTTCTCAAGTGACGCTCCAAATGTGATGGGACAGTAGAAAATTCACATTTATCCGTATTGAGCTGATCCGCCCATTGAGAATTTGTTGTAAAATATGTATCCTCAAATTGCTAAACTCATTTGAATGACTGGAAACAGAAATATATTTGCATTCAGAAAAAAGAATAAAAAACGAATCGGGATGTACAAATGCTGTACGAATTGAAAATATACTCACCTGAAAGTGTTTGGTAACTTCAGATTTACAGGCCACATGCTTTTTCACTTCCTCCAGTTCTTTGTAACACTGCTCAGTAGTGCTTATCCGAGTGGACAAATTTTCTGGTGACTGAGTGTACAGATCCGGATTGACCTTTGTTGACTTGTTTCGCACTACGTATGTCTGATCTTCACAACCTCCCTTGTATACAAAAGAGCTCATGGCCAAGCAAAAAGGTAGGCTTTCGTTTAAATACGGAAATTCAATAGCATTGCATCCACATCGAGCATTGATTTTGGCCTAAAAAATTCAACCGAAACAATAATAAATGGAAAATTAGAATCAATTTCCTTCCTGTTCGTGCAGTAAACAGAGATAAGGCTGATGAGAATGCCAGTCTAAACGAAGTCGTTTGGAGGAACATACTGTTGATACCATAGGCAAATTCGAAATTAAACTAAAATAAGGTATACATTTACACTACTCAATTAAATTTAAGTAGCCGACAATCGAGATGACATTATTTGGATATTATGGTTGAAATCCATCCCATCGATCAGCCGATGAGATGCAGTCTGCACTCGGTTGTGGCAGTTATATAAAGAAAGACCTGTTCGACAGATTACCTCTAAATCAGAATAGGATTACGCATCACTAGACAGATGAACTCATCCCTATCACTAATCTCTTCTGTCAACTGTGGTCATTGGAAAGCAGAAGGTACACATAGCATGAGGGCCTGAAATCAAATGGTTTTAGAGACAAGACCGCAGAGTGCGGAAGTGAAAGCTAGAGCATCCAGATAATAACTCAAGGGAGTGTGAAAAGTCATCATCTGATCGCGATATGTCTGAGGTTAACCACATTATCTGGTTAGGACCACTTCCAGTCACTTAACTGATTGAATGGGAGTTTTCAGATTTGTTGCATGTCAAGGTAGGAAAGTTAATTTACTAAACTGTCTTAAACTACTCTCAACCTCAGCAGTAGAAATCACAGGAAGGAACACATACTGATTACCTTCAGCCATTTTCAATTTGTGCAGTCGTTGCTAAATGCGACCGCTTTTCTCAAAGACAGCCCGTACTAATTTGTTAACTTTAAATGTGATACATTATGGCATATGAACCCAACGCCATCTAATAAATAAGGGCTATTGTTGATAAACATTGACAAAAAGCACTAAATTTCAACACTTATAATTGTACTACTTAGATGCAGTTAGTAAGCAAAACATGCTCACTTCACTTTTGCTCTCGCAACAAAGAGCAAGACAATCTGGCCCTTATTTTGCTTTCCCAGATAACTAATCCCGAGAGATGATCTAATCAAATCACGGGTGTTGTTTTCGCAAAATCAAATCACAAGTCCAGTGATTAGTTTTGCACAAGTTTCCGCAGACTAGATGCGTATAAAGAAGCACACGACTTCCACGGGGTACACCGAGGCTAGTGAGAAAACGAGACACCATTCCGGAACCGGCAGCTGGTTTGACTCTGCAACCCAATCAACATACGGCTGAACGAAAAAACCTGAGTATTGTGCCGATAAGAGACGAGAAAGAAGAAGCTCTCTGTATAACGGTTGGCGTTATGGTACATATATAAGAAAAAATAATGGATTGGGACAACAAAATGCCCGGGGGTTCCGGCGGACAACTGCTTCGTTGTGAACGGTGGTGAGATAGAGCTAAGTTCACCAAATTGTTGTTTAGGGAAGGAAATGAAATGTATCCTTCGTAGTCCCTCTTCTTAGAAAACGAACTGAAGCAAAAAGCATGACGCGAGTTGAATGAATTTTACTTCCTTTACAAAATGTAATAAGCCACTTGGTTTGTTGGTCCTGATTTGCGAGCAGCTCTTATCCCACTCGCGTTAAACACAAAATCGTGCAGAAAAATTGTGACGAAATACGATTTACGAGGATATGCTTGAACTCGGCCGGTGCATGTAAACTAGAAATTAATCGTTTTAGATCCCTGATATAAACTGAAACTCGAAAGCCTCAGCTTTGCTGACAGATTTGTGATATTTCTCTTTTCATAATCGCGTTACGACCAGCCATTAATCGAAACAAGTTTAAAGTTTTAATTTTGTCATCCAAACTACATAATGAAGTTATTTTGTGAAATCTTCAATTAATCACAACAACTAACTGGAATAAACGTGACTTGATCGTCTTTATAGAATATTTCGTAATAGGGAGTGTGTGAATGGCTGGGCAAAATTTCCCTGGAAGTACACGACCGGTTTCGCGGTTTATTCCGCTCATCAGGCATACATATCCGATAATCTTTTTTTCAGTTCATTCATTTACTTGTACACATGAATTGTATTTTCGTCACAGTAACCTTGCTTGCAACACCGGGTGACTGTTGGACAGTCATTCACACACTCCTTTTTATGAAATATTCGATAAAGACAATCAAGTCGCGTTTGTTGCGGTTAGTAGCATCTAACCCACCCACAAAAGATTGAAACCCCGCCTTGATTCTTCAGCGAACTGGCTATGAAAGAACTGTCTATTCAAAAGTCACCCGGTTTTGTAAACAAGGTTTACATATACCCATATAAATATATCGTACTCGTTGACGCCAGACTGCATGCTAAATAAATCATGGTACAATAATCTTTATAAAAAAGAAAAGCGTTCCATTATTTGCATATGGGCTGAATACCGCCAGGTTGCTCAGGTCAAGGCAGATGAATTTTCTTGAGTCATCCACAACCGGAACCTTCGGCTAGCCAAAGCTTGACCTTGATCCCCAATCAAGCCGGTGACCACTGCCACACCGAAGAGGGTGTGAGTGAGTTTGGTTCGAAGGGCCTCCTCTTGGTTGGTTTTTAATTGGGGCTTTTGACCAACTCCCCTAGGTGAACTACCATTGGTTCACCAACTCAGTTATAGCCCCGGATGTCGGCTTTTCGTCCTCCCACTTTGGTGAGAAAACACCTCCGCCACGAGAAGGCATTGAGCAGGGCTTCCTCAGCAGAGGCTATTCGAGATGCTTGGTCGTATGGGAGCATTTCGCGAGGTGCGAGGGAAGGATTACCAGCCTCAACCCTAGACACCCACTCCCGGCCATGCTGAAACTATCAGGTCGGTAGTTTAATTTTAGTCTATACAAATATCCTTTCTCGGTGAGTTTACACTGCACAAATCTATATTTGCACGCCGGTCCGGGCGGAGGACAGAAGCGATTGATCAGAGCCAATACCTACTAATGGGTGCCTACCATGTGAAACGGTGTTCAACAGACTGTGTTTCTCTTTCAGTTCCATCAAAAGCCAATCGATTTCGATCAGTTGTTATGCAGCAGGTTGAAATAAATTAAAGTAGAATATTCCCCATGATCTATTTCCAAATTTGGCTTACCCGGGGTCACTTGGTTTCCGCATGGGGGTTAGAAGTTATTTTATTTAACGGGAGAAATTTCCAGCTTTATTGGACTAGATGTCAGTGTCGCCTCACAGCAAAGGTTTATATCATATGAACAAGTTCGAGTCTCTCGACATTTTGAATGTTTGGCCACAAGAGTTCTACAGATAATTTATTAATGAACCCGAACTCTCTCTCCCTCCTTGTTCTTGTTCCGCATATCATTCATTGTTACACAGATGTAATAGTTGGCTATTTTTGTCGGTGCTCATTTTTAGGGGTAGAATTCTCTCTCCAAAGTTGGTCTCAGTAGTTCAGTGATCCGGTGAATTCATAACGAGGTGGACAATGGATCGAACGGGGAACCATAAGCACTGGCTTTTATCCTTTCGTGAATCAGGAATGTTTTTTTTAGTGAGATAAGATTGAATGAATATTGAAATGGAATTAAAATCACCGGGTACCATACCAATCGTAGTGCTGAACACCGGGCTAATATGACAAACAAGTTTGCATACTGGTCTATAAACTGATTACATCTGAACGCGCTCGCGTGAACGTGTGTGTGTGTCACTCGAGAAGAGACAAAACCTGAGTTGAATTAATATTTCATGCGTAGAAAGAATTACAGATACGGATCGAACTCGTGCGACATGACTCTCCATTTAGAAATAGAAATTCAGTTTCTATACTTGTGCATATCAATAACTATGGGTGAATAGAATTTTTTCCGAACTTTATCTCTCATTACAACATTCCTAACTCTCTTTCATCGTCGTTTGAATTCGTGTGACCTTAAGTTCCACCAAAAGTTAGCGGTAGTTCGAAAGTTACGGTTGAGAATTAGAAAGTTTGACTTTATTCAGTTACCTTCAAACAATCCGGATTTGAATTCAAACGAAAACTTTTCCCAATGTAGGAAATGGAGATAAGTGGTTGACAGCGGTCTACAATCTTCAGGGTGTGGTTTCTATTATGGGAAGCTGACANTGACAAGTGTGCGTTTTGATTGCCAATTTGTTGGACTCTATGCAAAAATGACTGGTTCATGTGATCAAAAATGTAGAAGAGTAAACAGGGTATTAACGAAACGTAAGTGCAATACCTGTATTATGCATATGAGGCATTTTTATCAACAAAATCTTATAATCTTTTTCTCCAGAGTTTTCGTTATATGGGAAATGCTGCGTATGCAACTCTCATCGAAATCGAGTGATGGCATTTCGATTAGGTATTCAATCCAAAGAAGCAACGACGTAAGTGGACATTAGTACAGATTTGTTTGGTCTGATGTGTG